GCCACTAACGGCCGGGTGCTGCAGCGCTTTTATTAGAGCCGCCATAAATTCTGCCCAGTCACAAAACGCAGAAGAAGAAAGTAAAAAGAAGATTTATAATCAGCAGCTAAAAGTGAGATTTTCCTTTCTTTTTGCCTACATGGCTACACATCTGCCTTCACTGGGGCTCAGCCGTTGTAGACTGTCAGTGTCAGATGGACTGGACAACTTCCTGTCCTACCTGGTCCGACCTGGTCCTCCGTCCTCGTTAGAGAGGAGAGTACATGTCGGTGCGAGTGCTTGGATAGTGATGGGAGGATCCCTGAAGGTGGACTGAAGCTTAAAAATGCAAAGCTGGAGCTAATATTTCGTTTCCACAGGGCCGAGACTTTTTTAAGCTTCCAGCAAAGTTTCCAACAGACTCCTCTCCGCGCTCCGGAGCCTACAAGTCCCCATGCAGGCTCGATCAATATTACAGAGGAACACCGCATCTCTCCCCTCGCAGTGGAGCAACAATCGGGGAGACAGCGTGAGCCCGGGACAGATGGAGCGAGCGGCGCTCCGTCTGCTGCAGTGTGGGAGTGAGAGCTGGAGGAGCAGCGGTTGGTGCGCACAAGCTGGGGAATGGGAAACTGCCCCACAGCGGCAGCTCCATGATGGATGCTCACTGCAGAGCCACAACCGCCTGACCTCCACACACACTCCGACAGGGCTACTACAAAGAGGGCTGTAGAGAAATGTGTGTGTGCGTGCGTGCGTGCGTGCGTGCGTGTGCGTGCGTGCGTGTGTGCGTGCGTGCGTGCGTGCGTGTGTGTGTGTGTGCGTGCGTGCGTGCGTGTGTGTGTGTGTGCGTGTGTGTGTGTGTGTGTGGACAGAAACCAAACAGAACCATCCTTGTTACACATAGCAGAAGTCCTGGTGCTGGCAGGTCGTGTTATTTATAAAAGACTCTAATCCCAGTAAGAAGCACGCGGCTACATTCAGCCCAGCAGAGAGAATGAGAGTAAAAGTAGAAAAGAGAGAAGAAATGTTTTGATGTGTTAAAAATGCAAAACAAGTGCAAATAAATCCAGTGTGTGGCGTCTTTAGCTGAAGCACAGCGGGGTGAGAAATGCTGCCATTCACCTTAAAACCCAAATCCCAGAGCAGCGAAACCACTTCAGTGTAATAAAAGACACGCAGACGTCTGATACAGTCGCTTCAAGTCTAAAGGTGTGTGATGTTCAAGTCCTAAGTGTATCATCTCCTGTGTGTGTGTGTGTGTGTGTGTGTGTGTGTGTGACTCCTCTGGTAAAGGCGAGAAGAAGAGGATGTGACAACGACCTTGGGGGCACGAACTCCAACAAAAGTGTTATTCCACTTTTAGGTGGTTTTAATTTGATCCGTACGACAACGTGAGACTTCTGCTTTCCTCCGAGGTGTAAATGTGGATCTGCAGCCATCAGGAAAGGTGTGTGTGTGTGTGCGTGCGTGCATGCGTGTGTGTGTGTGTGTTCCTCAGGTAGTGCATGCCTTTTTGAATCCCCAGACAAATTTTCTAAGTAAATCTGCACAAAAAGTGGTTGAATTTCAGCTGTTTTCTACTTTTCTTCTGTTTTATTGCTGTTAAAGAAACCTTTTTATGTTATAAATGGATGTAGGAGCAGTTTTCATGCCAACACTCACTAGGAGCATCACTGATGTCAATATATAATTAGGAAATCATGTTTACTGACTCGCTGTGACTCAAACTTCTAATTAAGCTCTATTCAGTACTCCAGCCTCGCTTTGAGTCACACGTATTGTTTTTTGTTGCAATGGTTTGTTAAACAATGAGTCCGATTCTTTTATTCAGCATGGTGGATTTCTATGAAGCAACTGTTTTAAATCATTCAAATGGAAGCAGATATTTCTGTTGTTGTTCAGCTGGTTTTCTTTACAGAAACAAGCTCTAAAGAGAAGAAATTAGAGCAGATTTTCTGGTAAACGTGATATTTATAACCAACAGATCACCAACGACTGATTCAAGTTAGCCACCACCTTCATGTGAAGGCTTTAAACTAATTCTCTTAGACAGAGTTACAGTCAGTTTGGTCATTTTGACAAGACAGATGTCAGGATCTCAGCTAGAGCTCAGGATATGCAACATGGGAGACTTTTAGCTGCCACTGCGCCGAGTTTCAGCCCAATATCTCCTAAACTCATTTTGGGTTTGTTTTAAAGCTGACTAGCTGTGGCGGCCATCTTGAGTTGGACCGACTCCAAATATTAATCCCATTTCAGACGTACGTGTAACGATTATTTCTGACTTCCATTAAAACCCATCAAAATGTCCATAAGAACACACACACACACACGCGCACACACACACACACACACACACACACACACACACACACAAGGCCTTTTGCTTTAAGAGCCAAGCACAAAGCTGCTCCGGAGCCTTCCTGCCATGAAAACGGTTGTTTTCAGTGAGACAACAACAACAACAACAACAACAACAACAACAACAACACGGAGGGAAATGTTTCCTGTGAAATCA